GAGAGGGAGGGGGACGGGGAAAAGGAAAATGAGGAGCTGATTCCAGGAACCCAAGTGGAAAGCGAATTTTGAGAATGATGAGGGCAACATTCTTGTGTACTTTACACAATTGATGTATGTATCGATTGTCTGAGCCCCAATAAAATGATTAAAAAAAAACATTCTGAAACTGTGATAGCAATTGTACAATATGCTTGATGTGATTGAACTATGGAATGTTATGATATCTGTGAAAACGCAATGAAATTTTTTTTTTAATTTTAAAAGAGGGAGCGTCAGAAAGTTCATAGGAAATTTCTATCAGCTTTTAATTCCATTTTTCCATGAGCTTTTAAACCTCCCTTATACATACAAAAATTGCAGAGTTAGCAAAAGTTTTCTATATAATTTTTAAAATCTACAAAAAGATAATCCTATTTTAAAACTAAGCAGAGGATATGAATGGACAAGGAAACCAACAAAGACATAAAGAAATACTCAGAATCAACAGCCATGAGAAGGCTGCAAATCAAAACAACAAAGCTGTATTATCTTAACCCCAGTATTGATAGCAAAGTTAAAAATAAAAACAGCAAGCAACAAATGCTAGTGAAAATGTGGAGAGATGGGAACCTTTATAAATTTAACAGGGTCATTAAAATACTTTTTACCAGTATAACAACTGAAACACCATAAAAGTCCATCAATAGGAAATAAGAGAAGACACAAACATACCACTGTATTCATATAATATCCATTCCATTCACATAGATTAAGAGAATATATAAAATTAAATAACATGCTGAGCAAAATGAAGCAAGCTAAATAATTTAAACATATAATTGGTGTAAATGTTAAACTGTAGAGAGAGTATGATAAAATAGCTTCAATATATAGGAAAATATAAAAAAATCTTAACATACATCAGCTACCTTTTTATAAAGGCTTTTAATGATTCTTTTGTAAGAAGAAACTCAGAGAAACAATGTGGCAGTTAGATTTTTATGTCAGTGGCACTTGTGTGAAAGTGTAGGGGTAAAATCCAATTTGCCAATCAGGTCACAGCCTAATGATGACTCCTGGGATGTGCATCCTTTTTATGAGAGGCATTGGGAACTCTTCCTATCCTGCTCCTCCACCCTTTCTGATTGCTGGGACACTGAGTCTACCTCCATGGTGGCCACATGTGGGTCACAGACCCAGGGAGATGCCAGCACCCAATTATGTTCCCACCAACCATGGATCTAACTCAGCTTTTCACTCACCACCCTGTGAACTCCCTGCTTCCAGCTTCACCTTTGTGCATCAATAATCTGTAGTTATGTTGAGTCTGGAGAGGGCCCCAGGGCAGCATCGGACCCTTGGACTTAAGTTCAGGGGCTACGACACATTCCTGATACAAACTTCTTTTTTAGACATATGAGTGTCACTGGTTTTCTATTTCTAGACAACTCAGCCTAATACAAACAATAACAGTGATATTAAAAAAAAACACGACACAGAATTACCTTGGAGGCACGAATCTGTCTGTGGACATCCGTTAGTTGTTGGATTTTGTATTCTAGCTCTGAAATCTGGGCTTGAAGCCAAGTCCATCGGCTGCCAATTCTTGCTCTGTCTACAAGCCACTTCCATTCAGTACTCCAGTTACTGTGAACAAGACAAATACTGAGTCAAGGCACAAAAGCAATCAAGTTTTAACAGAGACTGCTTAAATAACTTCCTTGACTGCTGTCATACAATCTCAATTTCCTTTATAAAACATCTAATTACATTATGGGACAATGTATAATCAACATCTTATCAAAGAAAAAGATTTAGCTTCCTTACCTTTCCACCCCCCACACCTGCTTTAATCAATATTTAGTATTCAGTAGTAGGATAATCCCTTTTGCTATTTAAAACCTTATTACTGCTAATGGACTGAATGGGAGGTGGGGCAGCAAAGGAAACAGGAATGATAATAATACTAGCACCCTGAACTAACTGTCATTTGAGGCTTTTATATATTAGAAATCAGGTATTCGACAAGTGATTCAAGCTATGCTAGATCTAAATCCATGTAACAACTATATTGTACTCAATTTTATTGTAAGTGATTTTCATTTACTAAAGCAGACATCACTATTAGCTAATTATTCAAAGCCAATTTAAATTAATTATCCAAAATATGAATACTCTGCTACATTTCAAATAAGTAAATCAAATACAGAGCTCTAGAGATGTTTAAGAGCAACAGCTTGTTAGAAACAGGATTCCCAGGGTTCACATGGCAAATAACTTAATAAAACCTTTCTTTTTTTTTTTTAGTGTAATTAAGGTTATTTTTATAGGAGTAGATCTCAGTACTGAGAGATTTTTTTAAAAATCGTTTTATTGGAGATTCATACAGCCCTTATCACAATTCATACATATATCCATTGTGTCAAGCACATTTGTACATTTGTTGCAATCATTGTTTTTAATCATTTTATTGAGGGTTCGTACAATTCTTATCCCAATCCATACATCCATCCATTGGGTCAAGCATATTTGTACATTTGTTGCCATCATCATTCTCAAAACATTTGCTTTCTACT